TACAAAAAAAGAAAAAACTATAAATAGCAAAAGCGCAGAAAAATCTCAAAGACGTGTTTTACGATCAGCTAAAGCAGGTGACACACAAACACAGCTTGATTTTCCCATACGTAAAAGTAAATCGACAAGCACATGGACAACTTACATGTAAATGATGAATTTTATGTAACTTTACTAAGTGACTCATCCATTAACTACTATCCTGAAAACACATTGGTAGCTTTTACTAATAAATTAAATAAACAATTTGCCCTTGATGAAAAATGGAAAGTTGGAATTTCACAAGTGTATGTAAATGATTATGTATCATCCATTTACGGAGAAAACGACGAAAAAAGAATTGCCATTACGATTGGAAGTACAGAAAAAAAATTTGAAAACATAGGTACAACTTATATTCCATATAGGAAAGAACAAATCAATTGTGATTGGAAAACTTTTGTTTTACCTACACTCATACAAAATATAGAACTGGATGCAGGATATACAAAAAAGGAATGTGAGCGTCAACTTATATGGCAAATTTTTGATTATATTTCAAGGAACTCAAGTTACATAAAATCTGAAGAACCAACTGAATACACTGGTGAAGTGGTTAAAATATGTGTCAGCGATCCAGAAGTTGACATAAAAATAGGTGTAAAAACCAATTGGTCAATTGATGTTTTTATCAAAGAATGTTTTAATCAAATTTTAATAAAATACCCCGATTTTAAAAAATATAAAGACAGAATTGTGCAATTGTACAAGTCTTATTTAGAAACCTTATATTTTATACCAGTAAATAAATCAGATAGTATGTTTGTAATGTACGAACAATAATAATAAAGAATACATACGAAAATAATTTTTCTGAATTTAAAAATATTCATTATTTTCCAGTTGAAAATAAATTTTTGGATAATATTTCTATTATGTTATGTGATAAATATGGTAAACAAATAAATTTTTCCAATAGTAATATTCCTACAAAAATTGTATTACATTTCAAAAAAGTATAAATAAAAGGTATTAAGCAAAAATTATATTATTTTTCTATTATATTATGGAACGATTGTATTATAAGTATTATTTAGTTCAATCTGGTAAAGGGCTTGATGATATCGGTCCCTTACTTCATTGTGCCCTTGCCTATCAAAGAGGTCGAGGATTGGGAAGTTTTTTTGGGGGGCTTTTTAAATATTTGAAACCTTTGTTTGTCTCCGGAGCTAATATATTGAAAAATGAAGCAATTAATTCGAGTATGAATGCTCTATCTGATATTGCAACTGGAACAAATATAAGAGAAGTAGTTCAGGATCGGGGTAAGGAAATTTTAAAAAATGTGAGACGTGGAGCAGTTCGTAAATTAAACGAAATGTATGGATCTGGAAAAAGAAAAAGAAAAAATATAAAAAGGCGCCTCATTAAAAAAATCGACTATTTTGCTTCAAAGCGACGAAAAGTTAATAGCAAAAGAAAAAAAGTTGATATTTTTGATTAATTATGATTGAATGTATGAAATCAGAATTGGATATTTTTAGAACAAAGCCAATTCAATCTAGTATTTTAAGATCTGAAGAAGTTTCATACAATCCTATTGCTTCTTTAGATAATCCATCAACTATTGAATTTGTCTCATTAGGTCATGGTGATACATACAGAGATTTATCTTCTACATATCTTAGATTAAAGGTACAAATTGTTAAAAAAGATGGAAACCATTGGAATAACGACAAAGGTGCCGACGGAAAAACATTGCCCCAACCAAGTGTAGTGAATAATCTTCTACACTCAATAATAAAACAGTGTAATGTTCAATTTAACGGAAAAAGTATTACCCCGTCAGATGGAAATTATCATTACAGAGCATACATTGAATCATTATTAAATTATGGTACGGATGCCGCTACTACTCATTTAGAGTGTGCTGGATGGTGTTTAGATAAACCAAACATAGCAAAACCAGATAATAATGGATCAAAAGAACGTCAAAAACTTTATCACAACAGCAATATCGTAGAGCTAATGGGTAAACTACATTTGGATATGTTTAACCAACCGACTCTTTTAATAAACAACGTTGATGTGAGAATTACTTTAACACTTGAAAAACTAGATTTTTATATTTTTGCAGACGATGCTGATGAATCTCAGTTAAAAATTTTGGAAGCTACATTATTTATGAAGCACGTAATAATAAACCCAAGGGTACTACTAGCCCATAATGCTGTTCTAGAAAAATCTAATGCCAAGTACAATTACAAACGTGTTGAAGTAAAAAGTTTTACAATTCCTTCTAATACATTAAGTATTTCACTTGATATCACTAATGTCTTCATTGGGCAATTACCCAACACCATAATTTTTTGCCTTACAGAAAATGTTGGCTACTCTGGAAAAAGATCAAAAAATCCATATAATTTTCGACATTTTGATATGTCCCAGTTTGTATTGTATGTAAATGGTGTACAAGTACCAAATACAGCAATTGAAACAAGTTTTTCAGATGAAAATAATTGTCATACTCGTGCATACCATACACTTTTCTCTGGTACAGGAATTTATCATTATGACAAAGGACATCAAATATCAAAATCTATGTTTAGTAGTGAATTTTTCATCTTGGCTTTCGATTTGACACCAGATGCATCAGGAAATGAGATATGTCAGGGTACTTTAGATATTATAAAATATTTAAATTGCAATAAATATACAAGAAAAAAATTTAGAGGTGTATTTGCTTTAGATCAAATACCAAAAAACCTTGAAAGATCTTCCCTTATAATTATAAATGCTGATAAAGCAAAAGATCCTGGCGAACATTAGTTAGCCATATATATTCCAAAATATGGTTGTGTTGAATACTTTGATTCTTATGAATCAAAGTATTTCAATGACAAACAATTACAAAGCACCTTTTCAGAAGTTTGTGGAGAATACTGTTGCGTGTATGCATGGTATAGATGTTTTGGTATAAGTATGAATAATTTTTTACGTGAATTTAAGAAACGCAACCATATTAAAAATGACCAAATAGTTTTAAGAAAATTTCACAAAATATTTGGAAAGCAGAATATTCAGAGATGTGTTTCTAGAAATCATGTTATATAAAAAATGAAATGTCTCAATTAAAATGCAGTTTAAAAACAGATAGCTAGATCAGCATTACTTAATCAGTGTTTCTTAAAATATGTTGTTGGCGTATACTTATTTTTTAAACAAAACACATACTGTAAAAGTAGTAATAGGATTCCACGTAGAATTATTAGAAGCAACCATTTCAATACACCGCATTGGAAAAAAGGAAATTTTTGTAAATTATGAAGATTTTATGAAATTCCGTTTTTACTTAAAAATAAGATAAAAAAATATTTAGAAATAAATAAAAGCACTATGCTACTAGACTAATATGTTACTTGTATTTTATTTTTTCTTTTATTTACATTATTTTTGTGTTATTTAAAACATGAGTAATTGTAAAAATAATAAAAAGCAAACATAAATATACCATATACAGCATAAGACATTTATAGCAATTCCAGCAAAATGAATTTAGTATCTGAATTGGTTCTTCTTCATTATTGAACATAATTGAAGCCCCATACCCTCTTGGTGATTAAGTATCCATTTTATTTCTTTAGTAAAACTGGAAAATTCGTTACAGTTATGCTGCTACGATTATAAATTGATGTATACTAAAGTTTTTTATTTGAATCATGCTTAAATATAAAATTACTGACTTTGTTCATTTTTATTGAGCTGCAACGGCTTATATAAATAATCGAATCCTTTTTATTTTTCTTATTTTAAAAATGGATGTCAACGAGTTTTTAAATGTATATGATTCTGTTATTTTGGAAGAACATAAGAATCAAATTTTATATTTAAACAATTACTTAAAAACATTTAAACATAAATTACAATTAACTAGTTCGATACACGGAAGCCATTTTACTATTTGCCCTTGGGCGTACGACGATACTACATCTGGACCTGATACTTGTGAATGCCATACAATAGAAAAATACAAAATTGAAGTTGCAAAATTGATTAATTGGTACGAAAAATATGTCAAGAGCTCAAATAGTGTCAGAAATTCATAGACCGGCTCGAAAAAATTACCGGAGGAGAAGATTTCTACAAAAAGGTTTAAATGATACATGGCAAATTGACTTAGTTGAAATGATTCCTTATGCAAAGTTTAATAAGGGCAAAAAATATATGTTAACTGTTATAGATACCTTTTCTAAGCACGCATTTGCTGAACCTGTAAAAAATAAAACTGCTGATAATGTTTTACAAGCTTTTAAAACAATTATAAAACGAAGTAAAACTGTACCAAAAAATATTCATTCAGATCAAGAGAAAGAATTTTTTAATATCAAATTCAAAAATTATATGCGGGAGAAAGGAATTAATCATTACCATACGTTTTCGGATCTTAAGGCGTCTATTGTAGAACGCTTTAATCGTACTTTAAAAAATTTGATGTGGAGAAAGTTTAGCTTACAGGGTAGTTACAAATGGATTACTATATTACCGTCTTTATTAAAAATATATAACTCAATCCCCCATAGAAAAACCAAGCTACCACCTGGAAAAATTTCTAAAGAAAATGAAGAATTTATATTAAAAAATATAAAGTAAATATAAAGTAGGAGACTATGTTAGGATAAGTAAATATAAAGGAATATTTGAAAAAGGTTATAATGCAAATTGGTCTACTGAAATTTTTAAAGTTATTAAAGTACATAATACATATCCAGTTACTTATGAGTTGCGTGATTATCAGAGTAATGATATATCTGGTAAATTTTATGAACCTGAATTAACACCTGTTAAAAATTCTGACGCCTATTTAGTAGAAAAAATCCTAAAAAAACAGGGCAAAAAAATTTTTGTAAAGTGTTTGGGATTTGACAGTAAACATAACAGCTGGATTAATAAAAAAGACTTAATTTGAAATTACTTGTACATTTTATTATAATAAATTTAGTTTTATAAAATTACATGACTATTTATTGAGTTATTTTTCTTCTTTTATAACCAAATGGCAACGAACTGTAATCATGCAAAGATCTTCGCTTTTCGGATTTTAGTTGATATGTTTTGGTTTCAGACACCGTAACGAGTTCATGTTCTTTTGTTCTTCGAATATTGTCAGAAAGTATGGAGATATTTTCAAAATTGTTTAAATTTAAAACAGCTTCCTTCATCGTTTCAAAATTGATTTTGTGTGAAGCGTCGTAGTTTAAGCGAATTCCTTTCACCTTACAAACCACTTTTTCAGAATTATCTTTTGTAGAAAAAACCTTATAGGCGTAATTTTTTGGACCACCGCTTACAAATTCTGTAACATAACTACCTTGGCCATAGCTTTCTAATTCATTAGTCATATCCCCTATAAACTCTCCAGTATGGGGTTCATATTCACCTTCACGCCTTATGTAAAATATTGAGTCTGTATCGTAATATAAAACTCGATTATCTAGCTTTTCCAAGTATGTGTACAATTTCAGACGGGCTTGTGCGGTTGTGAATGCAGCAATAGAGACATTCACAGTTGATAAAGATTCTGTTACCTCTTCTTTGTATTGCCAGTTAATAACAATATTTCTTTCATTTATAGGTAAAATATGCCACATTTTCTTCTATTGCTGCATTAGTTAACATCCCATACAACTCAAATGGCTTATTTATAATGTTTGTTTTTTGTAAGTTTTCTCTTTGTCCGAATTTACCCCAAAATGAATTTAACATCAATTTGGCAAATGATCGTAACCCAGGATTGTTCAAAACTTTTTCATATTCGAGCTGTATGTCTTCGTTTTGCAAAAAATCTTCAATATATTTTTCTTATTGATCTTTAGTACAACATTTGCTGGGCCACCCTGAAGCTTCTTGTTTTATTTTTAAAAATTTATCCATCATTTTACTAAATAATTCTTCAGCGTTTTTAAGTTTATTATATTGTGATACGTCGTATTCCCATATTTCATACGTCTCCAATATCCTATAATTTTTTTCTAGAGCCTTAATAACTTCATCGATAACCCAAGTTCCCGTTAAGGCTCTTTCATCATTTGAATGTGTGCAAAATTTATTTTGATTTCTTTGTTCGCTGCATAAACGGCATAACGTAAACATTAATTTATTATTTTGCTTCAGCGGTAAAACCGGATGATACAAACGTTCAGGTGGCAATATTTTACACTTTATGAGACCATTTATGTTTTGTAAATTTAATGAATAACATTTAGTATTTCCAATATGGAGTTTGGGATGTCCAATAGGGAATTTTCCGTATTTACATACATATGGATATATGGAACACACATCAATATAATTTATTTTTTCTGCATGTTTGCACTTATAGTAACTAAATGTATTTCCTGTGCGACCACCATAAAATGAATCTCGAGGATATAACGGGGTACAGTTTACTAATGGGTGATTTTTTAAATGCTCTTTCTGTTTTGTACTTAAAAAACTTTCAAAGACCCACATTTCCACAACTTCGTAACCTAAATTTCTTAATCGGCTACTTTTTTCAATTGTTCTTGCATAGCGGTGATTTAGAGTATCATTTAAATCATCGTACAAAGGTTTGTCACGTTTATGTGGTAGACAAGAGGGGTGCCCATGAAAATAGCATCCGTAAAACTCAAAAACTTGATTAGTTTCTTGGCAATAACCGTTTACTTTAACACCGGCCACTATAGCTTCCCGTTCTTTAGCTGCATGTTGAATATTGATTTTACGGTTTTCCTCTTCAAAAACCAGCCACTGTATAGCCTGCTTTGACTGATTATCTGCATATCTATATCCATTTTTAGGAATCAGCCCGATAGTATTGGACTTAAGAAAATTTCTCCGGAACACTAAATTGCAGGCTGATGCTATAGTTGTGGCTTCTAAAAACGGTTCCACATTACATTCAGTTATGAACAATTTTCGAAACTTAAGGCAGGCTTCTCTTAATATTACAACATTATAAATACAGTATTCAATAATATCACGTTGCATATTAAAAACATCATTTTTATGATTTTCATGCCATTGCAGAAATATGTCACGTTCTTTTGGTTTCATGCTGTCTGCCCCGTAGTATTCTATTGCTGGTAAAAGGCCAACATAATTCGCATTTTTTATGGTGTTAAATTTGTATGGAAAGTATCCTTTTTTAAAATTTGATGGTAAATAAAAAGCTTTCGGTAGTTCGGAGAGAGCCATTGGAAAATAATTTAGCGAGTCTAGAAATTTTATGTTGTCAATTAACATCATTATAATTTTGGTTCCTCTCATGATTAATTTAGGTTTTAATACAGTTTCCTGTAATATATAATTTAAGATGAACTGATGATCAAACGCTTGTCCATTGTGAGCTATAACAATAATTTTTTTAAAAAGCTTTCTCAATGCTAACAAATGTAAAACAAAGTTGGCAATAACGTCTTTTTCTTTAATTATTTTACTTCTAAATTTGCATTTTTGGCAAAACAACAATTTAGATTCATCGATGCAACTATCACATCTCTGAGATAACACACATAAATTTGGTTCGTGAAGCCTTTCATTTTCACTAATTTTTTGTTCTTGTCGTGTTTCTAAATCATAAAACACGTAAATAAAGTTGCTTAATGATGGTTCTTTGTCGTCTTTTTGAATAAAACATAGATGTCCTTGACTAACATGAATATTACAGGTTTTGCAAAATGATTCCCCGCAAATATGTTGTCGATTAGATTTATATGTCTTAAGACAACTTAAACATTTTTTCACTTCATTACAAATACTTTTGCTTTTTGAACCCGATGCTTTATGGTTTTCTAAGCAAATAGGGCTTCGAAACAGTCTGTTGCAATCTTTACATAAAATATTGTTTCCATTTGATCGGCATTGTAGTAAATGTTGACAACATGGGAATATACGAGAACATCTGTGGTCATTCTTTCCATAATACGGAATATTACACTCCTCACAATAATATGAAGAGCAAAAAGCCGCAGTAAGAGAGGTAATTACATTAAAATGGTCATCATAATGTAATAAATTGATCCTTTTACCATGATTACTCCCTTCAAATATCACATCTCTACCACCACCTCCATATTCATAAACAACAATTTTGTAATTATTTAAATAACTTTGAAATTGTTTTAATTCTGTTACTCCACAGCCGAGTACGGGAATTATGGCGTTAGCTTGTTTTACCAATTCTTGGGCTTTTGTTAATTGTTGCTTATTTACATCTCGTCGAATTTTTTGATAGTTTACATCATTTTCTATTTTGGCAATAGCGGTAATTAGAGCACGGGGCAAACATAAGTTATCTTTATTGTTAATACTAATTATTCCAGTTCGTTGCTTACATTCCTCAACAAAATTGTTATATTTCTTGGGCCTTCCTCTACAAACAGGTAGACTGACATGTGTTACTTTCACACAAAAATTGCCCGTATTTAAACCTGTAACAAAAAAAATTATGTAATAAAAAAGATAATACAAAATCAAAATGTAGTAACAACTTACCCTCGGAATTACTTTGAAAAATTTTTGAAATTTTATCCCATACGTCTTCAAATTTTAAACTTTCAGCTGGCCAATAAGCAAGCCACGCAGGACCGCGGTGTTGAAAACTTTCTCCACAAAAGGTCAACCCGACCATGTCATTTTTTGTCAGGTTTTGTAATACATATTTAATGATTTTTTCCACGGCTTCCCTTACCCAAGTAATCGGGTCTTCATTGGTGGTGTTATGAAACTATTGTTGTTGATGTTGACGACCGACCTGGCAGAGCATGTCATCCGCCACTGGTTGGGGCATCGGCCACCCGCTACTCCAGTGTGCATCTGGCTGTGTCCTGGAACTTCAGCCTGGGGTGGGTTAAATAGAAGTAGCCGGTTACCACCAATGGCTACGTAGCATAAACAGAAAAAAAAAATTATGCACACGTCGAAAAAAAAATAAAAAAATATTAATGCGATTGCAAAAAAAATAGTGAGGTTGGATTCAACTGGAACACCTTGTAGCGAACCAGAACGTGAAGCGTTGTGATAGGGTGCACCACACGGTACACCACCGTGCTGACAGGGTGACGAATCAACACTGTCCCGAGCCCTACCCTTCCATGAGTCTCAGATGTTGTTGAGACTCCCAATTTTGCTCGAAAAACCCCTAAATTTTGGACACCCTAAAGTAAAGCGGAACTACGATTCCATCAACATTTTAATATTAGCTAGGAATTTTATATTTATGAATAAAATCCATATATTTAAATACTACACCAAAAGGCTATAGAAAAAAAAATATCAATTTGCGGCCGGAATATTTGGACATTTAAAATAAAAAAAAAATCGATTTACCATAGCTAAAACGTGTAAAATTAACTATTAAATATCGTAAAGAAAAATATTTGCCGTCAAAAAAAAATTTTATTTGTCATATGTATTTGTTTTTTTTATAATTCATCAATACAAAAAAGACTAATTTACAAAAAAATTTTCGAATCTCTTTTACAATAAAATTTCTTTATTAATGATACATAGTTCAAAATTTAAAAAAAAAGTTCCTTATAATATTAAAATTTAAATAAAAAAAATAAAAAAAATTGAATAAAACATTGCCTTTTTTATACCCTGCACTTCGTGAAGGGTATATTAACTTTGGTATGGAGTTTGTAACTACTTGAAGGAGTCATCTGCGGTATGGACATATATATATATTCTTGCTCAGCGTAAAATTCTGCGTCGATTTAGACATGTCCGTCTGTCCGTCCGTCCGTCCGTCCGATCGCACGATAACTCAAAAACGAATAATGCAATCGACACCAAACTTTCACAAGTTTTTTCTTTTGTGCCAAGGACGAGCCCTATTGTTATTGGACTAATTCGAACAACGGGTTCGGGTAGCTGCCATACAACTCAAAGAGTTTATTTTAAATATTTCAAAAACTAATAAAGGTATAAATATAAAATTTTGTATACATGTGTCCAATTATATTCTGCACATGCTCTAAAAATTATAATGGGATAGCTGCACCGGTTCGGGTGGCTGCCATACAACTCCAAGAGCAAATTTTTTATATTCGGCAAAATAATAAAGTCAGATTCATGAAACTTGGCAGTCATGTGTCCAATTATAGGTCAAATATATTTCTGAATTTTTGGAGGAATTGCTTTACAGGTTCGGGTACCTGCCATATAACTCCAGAAGCTAATTTTAAATATTTGGAAAAATAATAAAGTCAGATTCATGAAACTTGGCAATCATGTGTCTAATTATGGCTCAAATATATCTCTGAAGTTTTGGTGGAATTGCTCGACAGGTGCGAGTAGCTCCCATACAAGTCTAAAAGGTTATTTTAAATATTTGGAAAAATAATAAAGTCAAATTCATGAGACTTGGCAGTCGTGTGTCCAATTATAGGTCCGACATATTTCTAAAGTTTTGGTGCGATTGCTTGACAGGTTCGGGTAGCTGCCATACAACTCAAAGAATTTATTTTAAATATTTCAAAAACTAATAAAGGTACAAATATAAAATTTTGTATACATGTGTCCAATTATATTCTACATATGCTCTAAAAATTTTAATAGTATAGCTGCACCGGTTCGGGTGACTGCCATACAACTCCAAAAGCAAATTTTTTATATTCGGCAAAATAATTAAATCAGATTCATGAAACTTGGCAGTCATGTGTCCAATTATAGGTCAAATATATTTCTGAAGTTTTAGAGGAATTGCTTTACAGGTTCGGGTACCTGCCATATAACTCCAGAAGCTAATTTTAAATATTTGGAAAAATAATAAAGTCAGATTCATGAAACTTGGCAATCATGTGTCTAATTATGGCTCAAATATATCTCTGAAGTTTTGGTGGAATTGCTCGACAGGTTCGAGTAGCTCCCATACAAGTCTAAAAGCTTATTCTTAATATTTGGAAAAATAATAAAGTCAGATTCATGAAACTTGGCAGTTGTGTGTCCGATTACAGATCAGATATATTTGTGAAGTTTTGATGGAATTGCTTGACAGGTTCAGGTATTTGCCATAAAACTCCAAAAGCTTATTTTACATATTTGGAAAAATAATAAAGTCAGATTCATGAAACTTGGCAGTTGTGTGTCCGATAATAGATCAGATATATTTGTGAAGTTTTAGTGAAATTGCTTGACAGGTTCGGGTACTTGCCATACAACTCCAAAAGCTTATTTTACATATTTGGAAAAATAATAAAGTCAGATTCATGAAACTTGGTAGTTGTATGTTGAGTAATAGGTCACATATATTTCTGAAGTTTTGGTGGAATTGCTTAACAGGTTCGAGTAGATCCCATACAAGTCTAAAAGCTTATTCTTAATATTTGGAAAAATAATAAAGTCAGATTCATGAAACTTGGCAGTTGTGTGTCCGATTATAGATCAGATATATTTGTGAAGTTTTGGTGGAATTGCTTGGCAGGTTGAGGTACTTACCATACAACTCCAAAAGCTAATTTTAAATATTTGGAAAAATTATAAGGTCAGATTCATGAAACTTGGCAGTCGGATGTCCAATTATAGGTCAGACATGTCCGTGAAGTTTCTATAGAATGATTTTAGAGGTTCAAGTAATTGCTACACAATAACGAAAGGTGCAGGGTATAATACAATCGGTTTATACCGACTGAAACGTTTTTACTTGTTTTCCTTAATCTTAGAAAAATCGTATTAAAATTTTATTTGACAATTAATCCAAAAAAAAACGTATATTAAAGATTTGTGAACTACTTTCAATTTTGATATAACAATATAAATATTTCAATAGTCAGGTTAGAAAAAAAAAACAATGTTTTTTCTTCCTTTTTTTTTTATTATAAATTCTTGTTAAAAAAAAAATTCTCCTTTTTTTTTTTGTTATGAGTCTTATAGCAATATTTATAGAATTAATGCATTTTTTCCCTTTTCTTTTTTTTTTTTTTTTTTGTTCTTAGGATACATTAAATTATTTTATATATATATGTTAATTTCTAAATTCAAATTCTATATGTTAATTTAATGGTACCATTAAAAAAAAAATTATGGACTGGGCCCAGTACTTACGTGCTCGGGGGTTCTTCGGGATTCCATACTCGGGGGGGTTCCTTCCATCATGTATATATATTTTTTTTCTCTCGTTTTTATGTAAAATTTTAATTTTATTTATTAAATATATTTTTCTTTTTCAATAAAAAAAATAAAAGCTCTTGTTATGACTATTAACCAACATGAAATTAGTGTTTTTCTTTTTCACAGTTTATAATTAAATGTTTAAAAAAATTTTTTTTTTTTCTAAGAGAGCTATGCAAATAAAAATTTTCTTTTTAAATATGTAAGTGTATATACATTCCACTTGTTTTTATTTCGTCTCATTATATACTTTTTTTTCTTTATTTTTACTTATTTAAATTAATTTACGCATTAGAAATTACATAATATTATTTAATTATTTCTTTCCATAGATATATATTATTTTATTTGTTAGTTAATTACAAAATTTTCAAAAATTATAAAAAAATAGAAAAACTAAAAGTAATTAAAGGCATATTTTTGTCTTATTTTTTTTTTTTATTTCTTTCTTATTTTATTTTTTGTATTGTAGTCTATTTTATTCTTAATAATTTAGAAAGAGATACGAAAATCTTTCAATTATACAATTAAATTCAAAAAAAAAAATTCAGTAAGTTTCATAATACTATAATAATTATAACTTTTATTACACCGCAAACCTTTGATTATAATTTGTTTATTAAAAAGGTTATATTAAACAAATAAGTCAACGAAAAGTTAAGTATATATTTTTTTTTGTTGTTTTTTTCATTTTTTTTTTGCTTTATTAGAGCTTTAATTTAATACTAATTAAATCCATGACATTAGCAATGATTTTGAACTTAAAGTAGCACTTGAAATGTTAAAACTTTCACCAAAGAAGATCGAATACTGGTTAATACTTAAAACCGAGATTCAATATGCCAATATTTGATTTTTTTTTGTTCAATATTTCAAGTTAAATTGGCGACACAAATTTTTGTTATAATAAATTTAAACTACACTATAAATTAGAATGAAAAAATAAAAAAAAAAACTATTTCCCGGAACAATTTATAAAAATGACAACTATTTTTGTATTATATAGTGTGTATTAAAATGATTTTGTTGAAGACCTTTTAGTCGATGTTATTTGAGAATTAAAAATACAACCCGTAGGGTATCTAACTAATATTTTGTTTAAATTTTCTAAAAGTATTTAAGTAACTTTTCTTTTTTTTTAATATCTTTTTTTATTAGAAAAATATTTAATACACGAACTGAACGAATACAGGAGATCGACCGCTTTTCAACTCTTCCACTCACTTTTTATTCATACAACATTTCACATTAAAATCTCATTATGAGCTGCCAAAAATTTACTGACCTATTTTTCAAACCAATTCAACATCAAGAAAGAAAAAAATTCCACTACTCATACATACATAAAAACTCCAAAATTCCTAACGGTAGGATCGTATGATATTTTACTGGAAATTTCGATTCCGAAGGAAAAAAAAATTCTTAATAGAAATAAACCAACAACAATAAATCAGATGTTTGACACAAAATGAATCAAAAATATGACACAAAAAAAACTTTGCATGTTATGAAATTTAACCCTAAACAGGATTCTACCTAATATTTAATACAATTTGTTCTTATATAACACCAACATGATCATGCACACACCTATAATTCACATTAGAATAGTATATGCCATATAAGGGTTAGCAAAGAATTAGAATATTTCAAATTGAAATGAAAAAAAACTACAACAACAATTTGCATTATGCGTATGAGAAGAGAATAGAACGAAAAGGAACAATAAAAAAAATTACAAATACCAATAAGGTACAAGTATATTTATGCGTAAACATGCAAATCATGCGATGTACGACTGTACACATTTTTTTTTTTTTTGCTATGAATAGGTATGTTTATGAATAACATTGTGTATACAATTCTTATGTTAAAGCAAAAAAAAATAATTCTTATGGAAAAAGAGGTATAAAATCTGACCACTGTTTTAAGTTGTATTATTGAAATAATTATTAGGGATGGGAATTTTCAAATTCATTATTGCTACCTAGAATAGAGCAATTTATGTAAAATTAAAACTTATATGCATGTAGGGAAAAATTTCCTTTGATCTTGAAGTTCAATTTTTCTTATAAAAAGAAATTTAGTTTTGCGAAAAAAAAATGTTAAGTGCTTATACCTAGCCCATAACAGTGGATATTGGATTTATTTTAAATATTATTTTTCTCCCACGTACCTTAAAACGCTTGATAATTGTTATATAATCACTTTCAATTGTATAGCGATTCGAATTTAAAAATTTTTGTAAAATAACTTTTTTCGATTTTATCTATGTTGCTTTTAAAATGACTTTTCCTAGCAAAATGATAGAAATTTTTACTCTTATTATAATGTTTCTTTCATTTCAACGATCAATGTTTTTATTATAAATAATCTTCAACATTGTAACAATTATAAAATACTACCTGTCACAGGCTGTAATCGTATAATTTTGCATACACAAAATAATTCATTAAACATAGGATTTCTATTAAGAATTGAGAATGAAAAAGGATCTATAAAAATGATAGATCTATTAATTTAACTTGTTTCTTTTGCAGGCTTTTTTCATAGTAGGTTTATAAATAGATTACTTTGTACTATCTTGAAAGAAAACAAGTATTCTATATCTACCTTTTTGTAAGAATTTTGAATTAATTCACAATTTTACAAAATATGTAATAATTATATCCTGTTAAATGTTGCAATTGATAAAACAGTTTATTAAAAATAGGATTTCTATCATAAATAATCTGTGACATTGTAAGAATTATAAAATACTATCTACGTGTCACAGGTTGTAATCGTTTAATTTTGGATACGTTAAAATAATTTATTAAAAATAGGATTTCTATTATAAACAGAGAATGAAGACAAGTGTAAAAAAAAAATGACCATTTGAAAATCTTTTTTTTGTAAGATTTTTTTATAGTAGATTTATAAATAGATTATTTTGTACTATCTTGAAAGAAAACAACTATTCTATATCTACCTTTTTGTAAGAATTTTTAATTAATTTACAATTTTACAAAAATATGTAATAATTATATCCTGTTAAATGTTGTATAAATACTGAGAGAATTTTCTACCAACATTATCAGTTTTCAAAATGGAACCAACCGAGGTTGATCTTATTTTGCAGGAGTTCATTACTCCATACAACGCTGTGGTAACGGACTGTCAGACAGTTTTCCACCAAAACGCAAAAGAATGAAGCTGCACCATGAGGTGCATATGACACAACAACCACAACAGCAACAACAACAACAACAATCACAACAACAACAACCACAACAACAACAACCACAACACCAACAATCACAATCGGAACTATTGTTTATTAACGCGTTTAATGAACAGCAAATTTTTTTTTCATAAAAATATATAACTGTTTCCGAAATGGAAACAGATAAAATCTACGCCTTAAATGGCGTAGAAAAAAAATATCCCAAAAGAGGAAAATTTATTGGGTGTTTATCACCCAATCCTTTTTTATTTTCATGCCGTTAAAATATGTGAATTTATTTTCACAAAAAGAAGAATATTGCCAAATGGCAAATTCAAACAAATTTTTAATTAAAAAAAATAAGCATGGAAATTTAGAACTAAGTTCAAAGTACTTTTTAGTTTTTATAAGTAACGATTAAGTATAATGAAAAATAAAAATAAAATTTTTATAATAAATAAGAAGTTTTTTGTTATTTAAAAATTTTTCAAATTTTTCATAATTTCTATTACAGCTCATTTTAGTCTTTTCAGATTTAAAATAAAAGGTAACTAGACCTACGTACATATGGATGTTGTATAATAATTATTACAACAAAAATTTTATAGGTACCTACATCTTAATTTTTTCTTATCCGTAATTCTTATCTAGAGGCGTATTCTTTTCATTTATATTTAGGTCTTAAGCTATGTTGTACATTATACGTAATATATACATATGTGCATATCATATTTTATTTTTGGTTCTTTTTTCACTTTTTCTTTTTTCTTTTTATTTAATTTTCTGACCTTAAATAAAAATATTATTCAAATATGTAGGTATATGCATCATAAGATTATTTCTTTTACCTCTTTTAACACGAAAACCAAACAAGAACAGCAAAACAAAAACAAAACAAAAACAGCAAAACAAAAACAAATGCTTTATAAAGGTAACTCTGAATCTTTTCCTATTTATTATTCTTATGCGCAACTCTTATAGGCATATTTTTTGTTTTCGTCTCTTCAGATTCTAAAAATAAATATAAATACGTTATAATAATAATAATATGCGTTTATGTCATTACACCAAGAATTTTTTATTCTTATGCGTAATTCTTACATGCATGTTCTTTTTTCTTCTTTTTACCTCTAATAATTACATAACCACATATCATCCTTATAGAAAAATAAATTTAGCTTTCTATTCTTTCCTGACATCCCATTACATAAAATATATTTTCAATCTATATGAGTCGAGTAATACACGACCTCGACAGGTAAACAACATTCTGTAAACAAGATTAATGACCTGTTAAACCAGACAACTCCTCAACTCGTAACTTAACTTCTAAGGCCTACTTCCTAAAACTTCTTACTTCCTAAAAACGTATAATTAAACTCGTATCACCTATATACTTCAAAAGGTCAATACCAGTTATACAGGTCATGACACACTTTAGCAGGTCATCTACCTATACCAGGAAATAAGAAAGTGAAAGTGGGTCGTGCGATGTGGGCTGATTTTTTCCCATCCCAGAGTGCCAGAATACCTACTAATAAGGACATCAATTATAAGGTTAAAATGATGAACAACAATCAATTTATTGTAAATTCCGAAATGGACTACAGGAATCTTACCAGAGCCATAGATGGATCTGGACTAGAATGGCATACCTATGAAAACAAGCAGGCCAGACCAATAAAAGTCATGGTAAGAGGTCTTCACCCCAGTTGTAAACTGGAAGATGTAAAGGAAGACCTAAGTTCTAGGGGTTACAAGATCTTAGATGTAACCAATAAAATTAAAAAAATGAAAGAAAATGGGAAAAACATTATGGTACCTCTACCGCTGTTTATGTTAACATTCTCAAATGAAGAAGAGATGCAAAAAAATTATGAAAGCGATTACATAAACAGGATGAAAGTTAGGATAGAGGCACTTCGAAGGGACAGGACCATTCCGCAGTGTAAAAGGTGTCAAAGGTATGGGCATACACAAAAATTTTGCCAGAGAGAACCGAATTGTGTTAAATGTGCAGGCAGGCACTTAACATCAGATTGCAGTAAGCCAAAGAGTACTGCAGCAAAGTGTTCCGATTGCTTAGAGCCCCACCCAGCAAACTATAGGGGATGCCTTGTAGCTAAGGAACTGCAATAACGTAGAAATTTGAACAGCAACAACAACCTGAAGAATTCTGAACGGCCACCGAGGAAATTCACCTCGAGAATAGTCTCAAAAGATGTAACATACAGGGAAAATGTGGTGCATTGCGATCTGCACCAGATGCAAATCGAGGAAATGCAAATGACAACGGTTCAGATCACTTCGACTAAGCAGAAATTTAGAGTGGCTGCATCATATTGTCACCCTAGATTTAAAATTATGGCAGAAATGTTTCAATGCGTTCTGACAGACCTGGGCGATAGATTTATATTGGGGGGTGACTTTAACGCCAAGCACACTGATTGGGGTTCAAGGTATACTTCAACTAGAGGAAGAGAACTTAGGACAGCAATTGGCGGCACGGGGTGCCTTTTTCATTCTAATGCGAAGCCAACGTATTGGCCAACCGATATTAATAAGTGTCCAGATTTAATAGATTTCTTCATAACGAAACAGATTGCGAAAAATTTCATGGAGGTACATGATAACTACGATCTTGACTCCGATCATTCGGTGGTTATTCTTATACTTATCCAAGAGCCTTACATAGTGAAGGATCAGGTTAAGGGCCTAACAGGTGAGCTATTGTATGATAATACAACTGGGGGCAGGCTTAGGGCTTGCATCTTGTTTAGTAAAAAGCTAACGTATTTTCCCATTCCAGATTACTGTTCTAAGGATCAGGTAGCTGCGTTGGTGAAGGTGAAGTCCTGCGGGGGCTGGACAGAGTTCATTGTGTGCTCATCCTACCTCCCGGGGGACTGTGTCCACCCGGACGAACAACTGAAGGATCTAGTGGACTTTTGTGGAAGGAGGAACTTCCAACTTATAATAGGAAGTGATGCCAATGCCCACCACACCGTCTGGGGAAGCAGCAATATAAACAAAAGAGGTGAGTGCCTACTTGAATTTATATATAGCAATAAATTAATGATTATGAATGAAGGCAATCCTGATCGATGGATAAATTAATGATGCACAGTGTTCCAGGCCGAAATACATGCAATAGAGATCTGTCTGAGAATCAATTTGGAAAGGGGGTATAGAAACCGCACCATCTATGTGTTCTCAGACAGCAGGGCTGCACTGCTGGCGCTCCGTTCAGCTCAGGTTACATCCAAGCTGGTCTGGAGCTGCCTTGTTGCACTTATGGAGTTGGCATCGGAAAACAGAGTGATGCTCATTTGGGTGCCGGGCCATAGTGGCCATGTGGGCAACGAAGTTGCCGATGGGTTGGCGCGGAGGGGATCTGGGGCTGCCTTTGTGCAGCCGCTGCCTTTCTGTGGTCTGCCTTCTTCCGCCGTGGGGGCCAGGCTTGCCTGCCTACTCGCGGCGGAATGCGGTCGTCACTGGCGGGACACGAAAGGGTGCCGTCATGCGGAGGTGTTTATTCCGGCGTGCTCCGGCGGACTCGCCGCGGAGTTGCTGGGGATGAGCAGGAGCCGGGTTCGCACTATTGCGAATTTCTTCACGGGGCACTGCCCGGTGAAGTACCGCCTGCATATGCTGGGGAAGTCGGGCTCCCCCCTGTGCAGATTTTGTGGGAGCGGCGTCGAGATCGCCGTGCACATTCTCTGCGACTGTCCGGCACTGGCTGTTCGGCGCCGCAATTGTCTTGGACATGGATCCCTAAGTGTTCGGGAACTATTGTCCAACTCCTTTAGGGATATCTCCGGCTTTGTATTTGGGACGGGGATATTATAGACGGGGGAGTGGGGTGGCTACAATAAGTCAAAAATGGCTGCGGTGGCTTTGGGGGGATGCTCCTGTCCCACTCGGTTCCCTTAGAATCTACAAAAAAAAAATCTTGTACTTAAAGAAAATATAGTTATGAAAAGAGCGAAACCTGCGCTGACAAATGGAACTACAGATTGGTCAAGATTTCGCTTAGAGATTGAACGTCAAATAGATCTAAGGAAAAGAATAAGAACTACCCAGCACATAGATGAGGAGGCCGAAAACTTTACTAAAATTATTCAAAATGCGGCTTGGAGTAGTTCCAAAATTAACGTTATTAGGAGGGGGATCATTTACTATCCCCCACATATACTAGCAAAAGTAAAACGAAGCGGGGGGGCGAGAAAAAGGTGGCAGCAAACGCGTGATCCTGCTGATAAAACAAGATATAATCATGAATCGCAGCAACTAAGACGCTGTATTAGAAAATACAAAGAGGATTCGGTTGCTGATTATGTTCAAAATTTGACGGCGTATGAAAAAACCAATTACTCATTGTGGAGGGCAACAAAGAAAATGAAGCAACCTATCAAACATCTCGCTCCTATTAAAAACAAAGATGGAACGTGGGCAAAAACTGACAAGGAGAAGGCAAATGCGTTTGCGGATCATTTGGCCGATATATTCTGCCCGCATGACAGCCGGAGCGTGTATGAAAATGCGGAATCTGCTTTTGTTGGGGATAGTGTGACTATTCCAATTGTCAAGGAAAGAGAGGTCATAGAAGAAATCAGGACTCTTAAACCTAAAAAGGCCCCAGGATTTGACCTAATAACGGCCGATATTTTGAAAGAATTACCCAAAAGGGGTATAACGATGCTTACGCGCCTAATAAATGAGTGTATAAGGTTCAATTACGTGCCTGAAATTTGGAAAGTTGCAGAGATAATCATGCTGCACAAACCTGGCAAGCATATAGACAAGGCGACTTCTTATAGACCAATCTCATTGTTGCCTATGATTTCAAAACTGCTAGAGAAACTTTTATTGAGAAGACTCCAGCCTATAATTGAAAGTAAAAGGTTAATCCCGAATCATCAGTTTGGTTTTCGCCACAACCACTCAACCATGAATCAGATTCATAGTACAACTGACCTAATAGAAAATTCACTGGAAGAAAAAACAATATGTTCTATCATATTTTTGGACGTAGCCCAGGCCTTCGATAAGGTTTGGCATTGTGGATTAATAAAAAAACTTAGGCGATTACTACCAAGGCAGTATGTTGACCTACTCGAATCTTACCTGACTAATAGGGTATTTCGAGTTAAACAGGAAAAGGAGTACTCTTCGCTTAGGGATATCAAGCCGGGGGTACTACAGGGGAGAATATTGGGCCCGATATTATACTTGCTATACACGTGTGATATTCCTGAATCGGAAGGAGTGGCAACAGCTACATTTGCTGACGATACAGCAGTTATCGCAATAGGACGACATGAAAATGAATCTACACAAAAATTGCAAACGGCCAGTGATGAGATCTCAAAATGGACTAGAAAGTGGAATATAAAACTTAACGAGGTGAAATCAGTACACGTAAATTTCACTAACAGGAAAATTGACAATTCATTTTCGGTTCGAATAAATGGCGTCTTGATTCCGTCAGCAAATACAGCGAAGTATTTGGGAATGACGTTGGACGCGAAGCTCAGATGGAAGGAGCGCATAAAGAAAAAGAGATCTCAACTAGAGGAGGAATACAGAAAGTTTGAATGGCTTTTGGGGAGGCGTTCCAAATTGACAATATACAACAAAGTTTTGAAATATAATCAAATATTTAAGCCTGTCTGGGCTTACGGTATTCAGTTATGGGGCTGCGCTGCGCAGACTCACATCCAATCTATACAAAGATTTCAAAATAGAGTTAAGTTTTATATTCCTGTATAGTAATCTCCTAAGTTTTTTTATTAATTCACAATGCCAAACCTTATCGAAGGCCTGGGCTACGTCCAAAAATATGATAGAACATATTGTTTTTTCTTCCAGTGAATTTTCTATTAGGGCAGTTATTCTATAAATCTGATCTATGGTTGAGTGGTTCCGGCTAAAACTAAATTGATGATTCAGGATTATCCTTTTGCTTTTAATTATAGGCTGAAGTCTTCTCAATAAAAGTTTCTCTAGTAGTTTTGAAATCATAGGCAACAATGAGATTGGTCTATAAGAAGTCGCCCCATCTATAGGTTTGCCAGGTTTGTGCAGCATGATTATCTCTGCAACTTTCCAAATTTCAGGCACGTAATTGAACCTTATACACGCATTTATTAGGCG